TGGTGGGAGCCAAGAACCCCTTCGGTGACTTAGTGTGAAGGAGGTGGGGCTTCACCATTGGGTGGCCACGTGGAATTGGGAGATGATGGCATTTCCCACCTGTGTGGCAGAGACCACTGGGCTCAGGCTGTCCTGGGAAGGGGCTGGGGGGTGATGGGTCTCTGGGGAGTGACAGGTGTGGGGTCTGGGGCACTTTATCAGCCCACCTGCAGGTCAGGGTTCATGGTCTCCAGGAACTGCTGGGTGCTGTCCTTCTCAGACCGGAACTGGCCCAGCTGCTCTACCACAGCTTCGATGCATTTTCCGTAGTAGGTCATCTTCCGGGTGGGCAGGCAGGTCCTACAAGGTGACAAAGTATCACCTACACTATGGGGTGGGGTCCTGATGGACAGAGCCTGTGAAGCTGCCAAAACCCTCAGCAGTGTGAGGCCCCTGGGGGCAGAGATGAGACTCTGTAGGGTGTGTATCATGGGATGGGAGGGGACCCCAACTTCTGGATTGTCCCCTAAGGCCAGTGTTGCCCAGGTCTCTCTGTGTACACAGGGTCTTCCAACTTCCCCAGATTCACCCCCTCCCCAGGCCTGTGCAGCAACTCACCTGTGGAGGGGCCAGGCCTGGGGAGGGTGGGGGTGTCACCCGGCAGGCAGGCCTCTGTGCCCCTCTGCCCAGCTCATTCAGCAGCCCTGTCTATGGGGATTCACCCAGAGGGTGGTCAATAAGTGGCCCTGGGGCCTGCGGGTTCAACAGTGCATTTGAAAGGCAAGACCAGATCCAGAGAAAACTCTGAGCTGGTAAGTGTCCAGCTGCATCTGGGGTTGGAGCATTCTGGAAACACATTAGCCGGGGACACCTCTGCTTGGGGAGGGGCTGGGACCCCAGGAGCTGGCCCTGAGGACACCAGGAGTGAGGTGGACCCTGAAATGGAAGGTAGGGATTCTCTTCCACAGTGTATGAGTTTGGGCTGTGACTGGGATTGGGAGGCCCTTCCTGCCTCCCCTGGGAGTCACACTGACTGGGAGACCATGCTGGCTTGGTCAGGTCGGAGGTCACAGTTGGCCTTTCTGGGCACCAGCAAAAGCTCAGCTCTGGCCTAGCCAGGGTAACAGCTCCAGGTACCAGCACCCAGCCCTAGACCCTGGCTGGACCCTGGCTCATCCCTTTCTGGGGAAAAGGACAAAGAGCAACTCTCCACCCACTTTTCCAGGGAGACAGTCAGTCGCTGTCTGCATTGCTATCCACAGGGAGGCCCACAGGCTGACAAGCCATCTAGTCACCTCAGAGGTGAGTGGAGGGCTACAGGTGAGCTGAAAATTCAGAAAAGCCTGTAAGACGAAACACGGAACCCAAGCAACCAGCAGAGAAGGTATCAGAGAAGAGGTAGTGCAGAGGGCAGAAAAACCAAATAGCCAGCCAGTCAACCAACCACCAGCCAGCCAGCCAACCAATCACCAGCCAGCCTACCAGCCAAAAACCAGCAGTCACCAATCAACAACCAGCTAGTCAGCCAACAACCAGCCAACCAACCACCAACCAGCCAATCAGCCAGCCAACCAACCACCAGCCAGCCAGTCAACCA